AGCCTAGTTCTGTTTGACTCCCAGGGCCTGGCTGCTTCTGCCAGCATACACACATATTTCCCGTGCACTGAGCACTGGGCCGAGCTTTCTGTGGATGATACTGTATTTCTCTCCTGCTACCTTTACAGAGCATTATGTTGGCTGTGAACTTGTCTGATTCCTGGGTCAGACAGGAGGGGAGGTGGAGCGTGGTGGTTAAGAATGAAGCCCTGGATCCCTGGTGGCGCAGTGGTTGGGAGTCCGCCTGCCGATGCAGGGGACGTGGGTTCGTGCCCCGGTCTGGGAAGATCCCGCATGCCGCGGAGCGGCTGGGCCCGTGAGCCATGGCCACTGGGCCTGCGCATCCGGAGCCTGTGCTCCACGATGGGAGAGGCCACAGCAGCGAGCGGCCCGTGTACCGCAAAAAAAAAAAAGAATGAAGCCCTGGAGCTGTGCTCCCTGGGTTCAAATCCCAGCTCTGCCCTTACTGGCTGTGCAAACTTGGGCAAGATACTTGACCTCTCTGTTTCAGATGCCCCATCTGTAAAAGGGGGTTGATAATAGTAGTTTCTATTCAGGGAGTAGTGGGAGGATTAAGTAATATAGTAAAGTGATTAGAACCATTTGGCCGTGAGGTGTTTGAGCAGCGATCTGGGTCTTCCCCACGTCCATGTGTCCGGAGTTATTACGGAGTAGCCGTCAGTGGTCAGCGTTGCGAGACAGCAGAGAGAAGTCGAGGTCTTAGTAATCGTCTCTCAAAATCACCAACTGTTGGTTTTTTCTTTTTTAAAGATTAAACACCTCCGCAGCCTCCCACTCCAGTCCCTTGGGGCTTCTGTCAATGGGTTTGGAGTTTGAGACACGCTTTGTATTTCTCTCCCTCTTTCCTGCCACCCGCGCCCAGAGCCTAGAGGGCAGCGAAGTGGAGACGCCCCCGTGCGTGCCCGCGATGGGCAGGGAGGGAGAATCCCTCCACACTCCTGCCTCTGCTCACACCAGCCACCCCTCCTCTCGACGTTTCCGAAGCCTTCCTCCCCTCCCAGCCTCTACCCCTCTAGCCTGCCTCATGAAGCCTTCCTGGGCTTCATGACACCCACCCCTCCCTCTTCTGAATTTCTGTAATAACGTCTGTGTTTGGTACGGTGATTTTATGTATCCATTCACCCACTTTATCTTCACGCAGTGAGGTGGGCACGACATTTACCACTCCCCCTCCTCCCCGCCCATCTTTCAGCAACCGTGGAACTGAGTCTGGAAGAACTAAGCAATTTGCCAAAGTGACACAGTCTGGAGTTTAATCCAAGCTTCTGCCTCGGGCTCTCGGCTCTTTCTATTAATAATTGACGTCCTCATAACACTCGTTGTCTGTCTCACGCTTTGGGCACTTGGCACACGTGGGCTGGTGTTGAGAGCTGTCTTTCCGTGCACGTGTGTCGGTACCTGCCTTTCAGAAGCTCCTTGAGGGCAGGGACTGAATGACATTTCTCTGTATCTCTGGGGCCTGGCAGCCATCAAGTATCAATACGCAACTGTCTCCCCTACATTTTTGTTAAGTAATCAAGCCCCTCCCCTGGCTGTCATTCCCTGGCCTCCACCCGGTCCCTCCAGCTACGTTTGGACAGAGTTGAGTTTTCAGGTGACCAGAGGAGGGACGGTAAGACGTCAGAAAGAGGAATCGGAAAGAGGGAGGGGTCCCCTGGGCACGGGTGGGTTGGGTGGGCTCCCCGAGGAGGGAGCTCCTCTTACTTCTTGAAGTTCTTTGGGGGCAGGACGGTGCAGTGGGCATCGAGCAGGGGTGCCCTGACGTCACTCCTCAGCGAGAGCTTCCCCACCTCTCTCAGCTCCTTCACTGTCCTGAGAATCACCTGGTGCCTCCTCTGTGCGTCCAGAGAGGAGTATAGGAGATGAGGGTCAGAAAGCAGTTTTGACTCATCCAGGACGGAGCGGGCACCGGGGGCTCTGCCGCGGGTGGCAGTGGGCCCTGGAATCCGTCAACCAGCGCCAGACGTTGCTGTCATAGGGCCTGTCAGGCCTGGCGGGGAAGGTGGCCGGCAGACGTCCCACATGCAGCCACGTGTGGAAGCCCCAGGTGTGCTGGGCCGCATCCTTCCAAGGGCAGGCCAGTGGATGACGCACCTTGGCCTTCATTTCCGTGCAGGGTGGCAGCTTCAGGGCCAGCTGGTGGTAGGCTTGCCGGGTGAGGCCGGGCAGCTCCGAGGACTCCCTGGGGAGGACGAACTCGCGTTGAGCCCACGTGCGGGGCGTCGGCAGGGTCTCGTGGGCGTGGACCATCTAGGGAGAGACAAGGGAGCCTGGGAGCCCTCTGCCTCTCCTCGGCTGGAGCGGACAAGCTGCCCGCGGCCTCCAGACCCAGATTCTCATCAGGACCGCGTGGTGGGGGGCGGGGGAGCGGGGATGGGACGTTTTCTCGGTTCTTGCCCAGAGCGCGTGCCCCCTTGGTATGATTTGCACGCATCCTCATAGACTGTCCTCTGTCCATGTATCAGGTTGTGTTTTCCTAGGCTTCTTCCTCAGCTGACTTTTTCCCTCTCCTCACTCTGCCTTCACCATCGCCCCATCCTGGGGGCCCCGTTCCTGCCTGGGGTCTGGCGCTCCTTTCCAGGCACACCGGACCTGAGGTAGTGTCGGGGGAAACGCCCCTTCCAAGCAGAGTGCGGAAGGGAAACCATTCTCCAGGGAGCGGGGCCAGTGCTTTTCTGCCCCGGCCCCTCCCGTCCCCCTCATGCAGGAAGCATCCAGATGTGGGTTCCTTTCCTTTCTGGCGCCCCTCCACCCCCCCGTGAAATAAACAGTGGCAGATATATACTTGACACTTTGCGAAATACTTGTCCTCATTTAACCCTCACACCTTGTGAGTAAGGGTTCTTGTTGCATCTCAAAGATGTAAGAAGCAAGGCTCGTGAGGGTGAATAACTTGTCCACGGCACAGAGTGAGGGCAGCAGAGCTGGCACTGGGTCTGCGCCACTCAGGACACTAGGCTCCTCCAAATGCCTCTGCTTCCCACCTGCCCCTAGGACTTTTCTGATCCCCAAAACTCACCTGTTGCTTGGGCCCAGTCCCCTAAGTCATGTCTACACGCACACCGCAGGGGTGGGTCTGGCTGTCATAACCAGACATTTCCTCTCCTCTGCCCTGAGCTCCGTGTTCACAGGGTCATAGGACAAGGGTTCACGGGCCTGGAGTTCTGCTGCCCGGGAGAAAGCATGGCCCACCCCAGGGCGGGCAGGGGGCAGGCAGGGGGTGGGGCTGGGGACAGCCCCTTACCCAGTGTGGTACAGAAAGGTAGCTGCAGAGATGCGGCCCCGCCCACTACCTTCAGGAAAGGTTCTCTGATGCGGGACGGGTCACTCTGCCCTCTGGGTGATCTCTGCAGGTTGCTGGCCATTTTTCTGGGCTTCCCTGCAGGAGGGGCAGTTTGTAGGGAAGACCTTCTTGCCAGCATTGTTTGCTGCTGGGGTTGCTATGGTGATGCTTCCTGGGTAGAGATGCAGGGAGGAGGCCCTTACCTCTCCCTGGGAGGGCTCACCAGTCCCTCGGGCCCTGGCTGCCTTTCAGGTGAGGCAGGTGGGGAATAGGGCTCATAACAGTAGCTGCTTCGAGGTGGGGGGCAGAAAAGCAGGATGGGCTGGCTCTCAGGCCTCGGGTTGGGGATGGAGGTGGTCATGAGGCACCTGTAACTGGGCCCATCCTTCCCTAATGTTGGTGGGCGTGTGCCCCTGGGTAGGCCTTCCTTCAGGGAGCCCTGGAAGGCCTAAGTGACCCAGCAGGTTCAGAGGTCCCCAAAAGAGGCTGGCTGTGCAGGCCCGGCACTGGGAAAACTGCCGATTGACTGCTGAGTTGGGAGGACGTGCCAGGGCGGAGGAGGGAGGTGACCGGGCCACAGCCCTTTGCACTCTCCTTCCAGGGCTCCGTGTTGGCTTCAAGCCTTGCATCTTCCCTGTCACAACCATTTTCATCGTCACCCACTTTCCTTCCCAACCCCCCCTCACACCGTAGGGACCAGACACCAGCGCGCCACAGACCAGCATGTGCCCCTGGGCTTTATTGAGTAGGTAGTTACAGTAGTGTTTTGGAGCTGGGGGCTGTGCACGCGGTCAGCTGGGGCCCCGGGTGGCTCTCTGCAAAGCTGGGCTCTCTGTAAAGCTGCAGCACCAGCTCAGACAGGCAGGCAGACAGGCCAGCCGGCCTCCGCCTCCTAACTCGTCTCTCTGGCATGATTAGGGACCTTATCAGAGAAACGTCTCTCGGGCACATCTGGGCACCCACTCTGCTCCAGGTGCCTCCATGCCCCCGCCCCACTCTTGACCCATAATAAGAGACCCTTTCACCAGGATTTCTTCTTGCAGGAAAGCTGACTTGGAAATGTGGGCAGGTGGGAGGCAGGGGCAGTAGGAGGGATCCTGGCAGGCAGACTCGAATATCGGGGCACCTACAGTGAGGAACCCTCGAGGGAGGGACCTGGGAGGAACTGTGCACTGCAGCCCTCCCTACTGCAGGAACCAAAAGCAAGTAACAGAAGCGAACTGAACCTCCTGGTTATCGTGACCCCCTTCTGGCAGTCTCTAGATAATGATCTAAGGAGATAGGTTTACATTTATAATTAGAGGATAATTAGGAACATGTACACCATTTACAAGGGCCACCCTGCCAGCAGCAGGGAAGGTGGGGGGCGGCTGGGCACAGGCGCAAACAGTCGGGGGCGGGGGGGTTCCTCATCCCTTTTCACCCTTGTTTTTGCTGTTCCCACCCGCAACTCCTAGTAGGGAGGGAGGAATCAGATTCTCTTGGGGAGTGGGTGGCACGGAGACTGGTCACCAGGACCTCGCGGCTTGCAGAAGGCCCAGTGGCGGCTCTGGCGTGACGCCTGCCTTGGCGTCACCAGGCCAGGTGGGCTGGAGGAGCAGACGGCCCCCGCCTGCTGTCCTGGCGCAGAGGGCTCGGAAGGCCAGCCCCACGAGCGCCCGGAGAGCCGCCGGCTTGAGCGGTGCGGGTCCCGTCTCTACCGCAGCTCGGGCATGAACTGAGCCCAGCTGGCGTCATCGGAGCCCAGCAGGTCCTCCTCCAGGCCGGGGAAGCTGATGTCCAGCAGTACCTTGCTGAGGCTGTCATTCATCGTGTCCAGGACCAAGCCTTCCGTTAGAGAACGGTTGGCCGAGAGGCTGGCAACCTGCGGCTCGGAGGAGCCTGGCTTGGGGACCTCCATATCTGAGGGGGGACAGCCGCTGAAGGGGTCAGCAGTGATGTCAAAGGGCTCGGAATTGAGGAGCTCTCGGGGGGAGTCAAAGAGGGGGACGCTTTTCAGCGGGGTGGTGCTGAGATCCGCCAGCTCCAGCGAGTCCGGCAGGGGCCCAAAGGCACCCTGGGGGGCTCGTACGGGGCTGAAATCAAGCCCCCCCACTTTGGCCGGGGGCGTGAGCCTCCAGGGTTCGGGGGTCACGGGGAGGGCAGATTTGCTCGGGGTGGAGGAGACGGGCAGCATCTCCTTGATGGGTGTCTTGAAAGGCCCGCCCTCCTCCTGGGAGGAGCCAAGCTGGGAGGCAGGTTGCGAAGGCCCCGCTGTGGCTCGACGACGGGGAGCCCCGGGGCCCTCGAAGAGCAGCTCCGGCTCGTCCAGACAGGGGGGCAGGAGGTGCTGCTTCCTTCGAGACCGGCTCACCTCCCTCCTCTCCCTGCGTCTGATGACAAGCAGGTCAGAGACGCAGCGGGCTGGGGACCTGGGCCCGCTGTAGGACTTCTTGGGCCTGGGGATCGGGGAGCGGGACGAATCCTCCCAGGAGGGGGACGACTCCTCCTTGACGGGCGGGCAGGGCGAGGGCCACTCTTCCAGGGGCGGGCTCTCGACTTTGATGGGTCTCCCTAAGTGTGGCGTTTCCTCCCCAGGCCGCAATTCTTCCTCCTTGATGGGCTGGACTGGAAGCAGAGGAGACAGCCCTTCTCCAAGGAGGAGCTTCTCCTCTTTCACTGGTCCTGCCGTGGGCAGAGGGGCGACGCCCTCGTCCGCGAGCAGCACCTGGAAGGGAAGCAGGTTAAGGTGAGCCAGGTCTGGAGGTTCAAACAGGCAGCAGGTGGGACACGAGTTCACGACTAAGACAAGTGACATGCAGGCACTGATCCTCTTTTGTCTTTTTAAGGTCTTAAAGACTGTTAAATATGAGACTATATGATGAAGGTGGTAGTTCAATTCTGGGGGTAAAAGAGCGTTTCCTGGGCTTCCCTGGTGGCACAGTGGTTAAGAATCCGCTGCCGACGCAGGGGACACGGGGTCAAGCCCTGGTCCGGGAAGATCCCACATGCCGCGGAGCAACTAAGCCCGTGTGCCAGAACTCCTGAAGCCCTGGCGCCTAGAGCCCGTGCTCTGCAACAGGAGAAGCCACCACAATGAGAAGCCCGCGCACCACAACGAAAGAGTAGCCTCCGCTCGCCGCAACTAGAGAAAGCCCGCCCACAGCAGCAAAGACCCAACACAGCCAAAAATAAGTAAGTTAAATAAATAATAATAAAATTAAAAAAAAAAAAAAGACAGAGCATTTCCTATGGTGCTGGCATAATTAGTATCCATCTGAGAGAAAATAAATGGCTGTTTCATACCATATACAAAGACTTAAACAGAAGAATTAAAACCATACAAATCCTGAAAGAGAATCTAGGACACTACATGTACAGTCTGAGGGGCGGGGGGTGAACTTCTTAACCAAGACTGGAAACCCAGAAGCTGTAAAAGAGAAGAGAGACATACTTGACTACACAAAAATGTAAAATCTGGGCTTCCCTGGTGGCGCAGTGGTTGAGAGTCCGCCTGCCGATGCAGGGGACACAGGTTCGTGCCCCGTTCTGGGAAGATCCCACATGCCGCGGAGCGGCTGGGCCCCTGAGCCATGGCCGCTGAGCCTGCGCGTCCGGAGCCTGTGCTCCGCGATGGGAGAGGCCACAACAGTGAGAGGCCCGCGTACCACACAAAAAAAAAAATCTTAAAAGACAGGTTAATATTTTAATAACAAAGAAATCACAAATTATTAGCAAAACCCTATAGGAAGATGGGCCATGTCCATAAATAAGCGTCTCACAGTGAAAAATTCCCAGTGACCAAACGCAGTGAGCAGGTGCTGACTTACCGATAAGCAAAGGAAGATAAAATGAAACAAGGAGCTGTCCTTCATACACCACAGACGGGCAAATATTAAAAAGACTGATAACACCCATGGCTGGCAAACATAGGTCTTGTTGGTGGATGTGTGAATTATCACAGATTTTTCTGGAAGCCAATCTTGAAATATTTAATAAACTTTAAAATAACTGTTCACTCAGCAATCTCATGTCTGGTTCTCCCACAGAAATAAAAACACTAGTAAGAAAGATACTTGCAAAGATATTTATTGCAATGTTCGCCACAGGGCAAAAAGACCTAGAAACATAATGTGCCCGTGAAAGCGGAATGGTTGGAAAATGTACGGCAGAGCCACACCATGGAATATTATGTAGCCATTAAAAAACAATGCAGGGCTTCCCTGGTGGTGCAGTGGTTAAGAATCCGCCTGACAATGCAGGGGACACAGGTTCAAGCCCTGGTCCAGGAAGATCCCACATGCCGCAGAACAACTAAGCCCGTGCGCCACAACTACTGAGCCTGCGCTCTAGAGCCCGCAAGCCACAACTACTGAGCCGGTGTACTACAACTACTGAAGCCCGCGCACCTAGAGCCCGAGCTCCGCAACAAGAGAAGCCACCACTATGAGAAGCCCACGCACCGCAACGAAGAGTAGCCCCCACTCGCCGCAACTAGAGAAAGCCCGTGTGCAGCAACAAAGACCCAATGCAGCCAAAAATAAATAAATAAAATAAATAAAATTTTAAAAAATGCATTAGGGAGTTCCCTGGCGGTCCAGTGGTTGCGACTCTGCGCTTCCACTGCAGGAGGCGCGGGTTCTATCCCTGGTCGGGGAACTGAGATCCCACATGCTGCCTGCCATGGCCAAAAAATAAAATTAAAAAACAAAAAAACCCCTCAAAAAAGTAAAAAACAAAAAACAATGAATTAAAGTGATGCCAAGTGACTTGGGAGAATTTCCCTGGGGCAGAAAGTGTGTGTAGGGCCTCCCTGGTGGCATAGTGGTCAAGAATCCGCCTGACAATGCAGGGGACACGGGTTCGAGCCCTGGTCCGGGAAGATCCCACATGCCGCGGAGCAACTAAGCCCGTGAGCCACAACTACTGAGTCTGCGCTCTAGAGCCCGCGAGCCACAACTACTGAAGCCCGTGAGCCTAGAGCCTGTGCTCTGCAACAAGAGAAGCCACCGCAATGAGAAGCCCGCGCACCGCAATGAAGAGTAGCCCCCGATCGCCGCAACTAGAGAAAGCCCGCGCACAGCAGCAAAGACCCAACACAGCCAAAAATAAATTAAAAAAAAAAAAAAAGTGTAATACGATCCCATTTGCAACGCTGTGTGTGGTGTGTGCGTGTATAACATGGCTGTGGAGATCGGTGTATGCAGAGTATAATAAGAGCATGAATAAATGGGAGAAAGCATGCTAACTTGTCAACATGGCTTATCACGGGGAGCAGGGGTGACATGGGTGAAGGTGAGGCGAGGGGAAGCAAAAAGAAGAAGAGATGTAAAAGACTGCATTGAAACAAAAACTTCACATGCTACAATGCATTTATGTAAAATTATCTATGCTGGTAGGTATACTTTTATGTATATTAAAATTATATATATATATATTTTTTGCGGTACGCGGGCCTCTCACTGTCGTGGCCTCTCCCATTGCGGAGCACAGGCTCCGGACGCGCAGGCTCAGCGGCCATGGCTCAGGGGTCCAGCCGCTCTGCGGCATGTGGGATCTTCCCGGACCGGGGCACAAACCCGTGTCCCCTGCATCGGCAGGCGGACTCTCAACCACTGTGCCACCAGGGAAGCCCTAAAATGATATTTTTTTAATTAAAAAAACAAAAGCAAAAACAGGGACTTCCCTGGCGGTCTCGTAGTTAAGGCTCCATGCTTCCACTGCAGCGGACATGCGTCTGATCCCTGGTCCGGCAACTAAGATCCCGCATGCTGTGTGGTACGGCCAAAAAACCCCCAAAACCAAAAAACCAAAAACAACAGAACAAAACAAAACCCAAAAACAAAAGCAAACCCAAGGCTCTTTATCTGGAGCCCCCGCTACTTCCATCTCAGAGAAAGGGGCACAGGGGCCCTTCCTGTACTTGCTACAGGCCAGCTCCTGCTCGCAAATCCTTCTCTGCGTCACGGCATGGTCCTAACTCACTGTCCTCAGCCCTCGAGCTAGACCACTGATGCTCAACCAGGAGCAACTCCCCCCAGGGGGCATCTGACAAACACCTGGAGACATTTTAATTGTCACACCAGGCGGTGCCCCCGACATCTAGTGGGGAGAGACTAGGGATGCTGCTAACACCCTTCAGTGCACAGGGCAGCACCCCTCTACCCCCAACAAAGAATTATCCAGCCCTAAATGTCAGCTGTATGGAGGCTGAGAAACCCAGAGCTAGACTGGCCCATCACTATACCATTGTTACTGGGGGCCTCCAGGGCATGCCCATTACAAAGCCCTCTCCAGGGACCTCCCTGGCGGTCCAGTGGTTGAGTCTTCGGCTTCCAGCTGCCAGTGCAGCGGATGAGGGTTCGATCCCTGGTCGGGGAGCTAAGATCCCTCAGGCTGCGCAGTGTAGCCAAAAATAAATAAATAAAAATTTAAAAAAGAAAAAAAAAAGCCCTCTCCACACCTGTTTGCTGCCCAAATCTACTTTGTAAAATCTCCTTCCCTTGTGAACTCTTCCTGAACCTTCCCGGCCCATCTGTTATAATCACCCTTGTCTGAACTCTTGTAAACTCATCAGGCATGGGTGGGCCTTCCAACATCCCTTACACCATACAGCAGGTTCCTTTTTAGCTCTTATAATGCTGTTGCATTTTCCTATGTATCGGTGCCTTGTCTACCAACTAGACGTATAAGCTTCTCAAGGGACACTTGGCAGAATCTGTAATTGACTGGAGTCTCTGCTCAGAGAGAACCCGAGGCACTCACCTTGGGGGCGATGCGGACTCGCTTGCTGTGGCGGGCGAGCTCTGAGCTCATGAGTGAGGCTGCCAGGGGCAATGGCACCTTGACCGAGGGCTGCAACACCAGGGACTGGTTCACTGGGAACTGGATGGGCACCAGGTACGAGCTGACCCGCGGCAGCAGAGGCTTCATCTTCCGCCCTGGGGGGGACCGGGAGGGGTCAGGAGCAGAGCCCAGGGACAGGCCCCTTCCAGGCTACGGGATCTTTGCTCTCCTTCCCTGGGCTGGGACCCCCGAGTCTGCTCCCTACAGGTGCACCCCCCGGGACCAGGCTCCCCCATACTAACGTGCGCCCAGGGGGATTTCGGTTTTGATGGCCACGTTCCGGCGGAGCTCAGGGTTGGGTCGTTTCTGCTGCTGTTTGGGGCAGAGAGGGGGAGAAAGAGACCAGGTCAGAGACGCAGGGGGACGAGGCAGGCGACCCCACCAGCTGCTCCGGTACCGGGTATGGAGTGAACTGACTGCCTGGCCCTGGGCAGGTGGTGGCACAGACACACGGCAGCGGGTGGTCCTACCACCTCATCCAGGTGTCCTCACCCCCGGGATGCAAAGCATGGAGCTCTATGAGGGGCAGAGAAAAGCCAGGTAGAGAAGTGAGAGCAAAGACGGCCGCCCTCCAGGCCCGTGCCATGCACCGTGGTCACCATCTTGCAGGGAGACTACGGCGGGTCCTCCTGCCACGCGCCGCGCTGCTTGGGGCACCATGATGAGCCCATGGGAGCAGGAGGAGGTGGAGGTCACGTGTCCTGAACACCCAGCAGCTCAGGTGCTCTGCGTTCAGGGCTGGCAGGCACCCAGCCACAGGCTCCCTTTCCTGCTAATGTCTTGTCCCTGTCACCAAAGCCATGCTGAGCGTGGAAAGCAAACAAGGCCGAGCCCCGAGCGGGAGGGAAAGAATCTTACTGATTGCAAGTGCTCGGGCGATTGTGGAGACCCTGGGTCCAGTGGCTGGTGGTGGTCAGGCATCGTGGGAGAGAAACGAGACGAAGTTACCACCAGTGCAGTCAAGCTGACCAGACTGGGCAAACCTATTCCTGATGGACGCCGAGGGCCACCCTCAACAACAGTCCCTCCCGGGAGGACGAGGGCAGCTAGCGGCACCCTTGTGGGCACTCTGAAACTCCAAAGCAGTCGCTTCTGACAAGAGATTCTGGGGGCTTCGTTTCTGCTCTCCAGCCTAAAGAAGGGCTTTTTAAAAACCAGGTTTCCCAGACTTTCTCTGTAAGAATCACCTGAGATTCTTGCTAAAAACACATATTCCTGGGCCCATCCCAGGCCTACTGAGTCAGAAGCCCCAAGAGAGGGGCCCAGGAGGCTGTATTTTAACAAGTGTTCCAGGCAGTTCTTATCACAGGGCAATACTGCCCCAGGAGGTCCCAGTTTTGGATCAGAGAGTCCTCTCTGTGGCCTGGTCTAGCAGAGAAGTGTGCCATCCCTTACGGGCTGGCTGGCCTTTAACTCTACCCTGATCGGATAAGCTCATCCCAAGAGGACTTCTTTCCTTTTGCGATGGATCTCACGACCTCCAACACTGGCCCAATTTGGATGCTTACCTTAAACACCTGGTCCAGTGTCAAGTAGCGATTGGCACTGGGGTGGATGGTCCAGAAGGAGACCTTGCCGTTGGCAGACGTCTCGCGGACAAACATGTCGTGGAGAGAGAGGTTGTGGCGGATGGAATTCTGAAAGTAGAGGATGCCACTCATCAGCTACTTTGGCTTTGGAAACACCACCGCCAATGTCCCCCAAGGAAATCAGGCCCAGGCCTTGTGTCCTTGTAACCTTGCCTATTGGCAGCTCCTGTGACACTCCGCATGGCACAGCTGGCAACCTGAGCCATCAACCCGTCTGCCCAGTAGGGACAGAGACTGGGGCCATTCCTGAGGTGGTGATAAAGCAGAGACCTGGACAGTTGTCAGGGGCTGGGAAAGAGGAGTGAGGCTGTGCGTGACAACCAGTAGCCAGAGAGGTGAGTGAAGAAATTATGATGCCAAGGAGCTCCCTGGTGGCCTAGTGGTTAGGATTCTGGGCTTTCACTACTGTGGCCAGGGTTCAATCCCTGGTTGGGGAACTGAGATCCCACAAGCCATGTGGCAAGGCCAAAAAAAAAAATTATGATGCTGGGGAATTCAGTTGAGGTATGAGGTTAATTGTCCTGCTGTGGGGAAAACAATACAAAAGCCCGTTGGCCTGGGACAGAGCATCTGTTGGGGCACCTACGCGGTGGCTCTGAGTCCCGTGTGAGCTATGGCTCCCAGGCATCTGTGTTCCCGTGAGCGGGAGGAAAAGATCCCCGCCTTCTGGAGAAGAAATGTGACTTTACAGAAGGTGAATCTTTGGATCGTGAGGCCTACAGATTTTTTTTTCATTAATAATCTTTTCACAAAGCTACTTAGTCACTCCAGCTGCTGTTCAGGGTAGCACAGAAGTGGGCTCTGTGCTGTACTGAAGAGTCTCCATCAACCCAGGGCAGCGACAGCTGAAGTGGTTACAGGGCTGTTAGTGATGATTTTGTCTGGATTCGGCAGGATCGAGTCCCAATCCAAAAGATACGGTTGTTGAAGGTTCTAGCATCCTTGGCACTTAACTGCTCCCTCCGCACCAGACAGACTACTGCCCTTCCGTGTGGACAAACTATTGGGCCGGACTGACCTTGACGGTGGCTGTTACAGGACACGGTACCTTCCAGCCTGGCTTGGCGATGTGCTTGAAATAGGGGAAGTGGTCCTCGATCCAAGTGTAGATGTCTTTCAGGGTCATGCGCTTCCTCTCAGTACTGTTGATGGCAAATTGTATCATGGCCATGTAAGAATAGGGTGGCCGCTCAGACACGGAGTCCGGCCAGGTTGCCGATGCTCCCAGGGGCCCCTCAACCTGAGCGTTCTGAGAAGCCAAAGGG